TGAAGTTGCTCGTCAAGGAGCTTCGCCAACTTGCCCATCTTGCCCTTTTGCACCTCCGGTGCTTCTTCTTTCAATGCGTCTTGTTGCGCTTTTGCCGCGATTTCGGCGCGCTTTATTTTCTCCATCAGCTTCGATGTGAACTTCGGTCCAGGTAACTGGGTCTCCCAGGTAACTCTGGTCGAATCGAAATCATTGAGGTTTTGGACCAAATAGAAGTAGCTGTCCGCATTTTCCAATGCCTTATCCGCAGGCAAGGCACGGCAGGCCTCAGCGCCATAAGCATGATCAGTAGTACCATAGTGGTGGGAGGCCTCGTGAATCAAAGCACCAATGCGGAATTGCGACCCCTGACAAACAGGACGCCAGAGACTCATGGAGATGAGAAACCAACAGCACAATTGCATAATTTTTATTAACAGGCCCTGGAAGCTATTATTCTACTGCAACCATGTGCTTTTGATTTTTTGTGTGTGTCCAAGTACAGCTAACACATCCACAATCCACGCTTGCTTGCAGCCCTTGCAACTCTCAACACTCCTTTATGTGCTTCATTGTCCATAAAGAAAACAAACACCCAAGAAAGGCATGCCTCGGCCCAGAATGCAGGGCATAGGTTGATGATGTACCGGTCATCTTTCGTCATCTCTCCAACGCGGTGGTCTTTGGGGCCGGGTCTTTGTTGCCCCAACAAAGGATGCCACTGGACATAAGCCAATTCACGCTTTGCACAATATACACCAGGGTCTGGCGATTTTCGAATGTAGCTGTTCTGCAGAACTTTCTTGACGTGCTGCAAATGCTGAAAAATCACCTGCAAAACCCAGATAAGCCAAGTGATTGAAAAAAGTGAAAAGCCACGGTCCATAACTGCATTTTCTGAGCATGTGGTTGTACAAAAGGTTGCAATGCACAAAGAGTCATGTCTACCATGTCTACCCATCCTTCGAATGCTCGCTCCCTTTCATCCACGTCTTGAGGCAGTCAAGCGTGAAGATCCTATCGAATCAAAGACTCAGATCGACTCGGACCACCAAGGCATATTTATTGGCCCGAGTTGCACACACCCTAACTTATCCAAATTAAATAAGTAGGCGCCTGCTTGATCGGGCAAGGGCTAAAAGAACTACTGGAGAACCTGCTGATAGCTCACGCTATTCGATTGGTTCCTAGAAGTTCCTATGCTGCTATTCATTTCTAAAAGCATCAATTCATGAGCTCCCCAAGCTCCGGCCTGGCTCTCTTCTTCTGCACTGCAGCACTGACCCAGGCGACAGCTTGCACCAACTCCTTCTTGTAAGCCTTCCGTCGTTCTTCCAGGATCCTCACAGTTGGTAGTAAGAAGTGGACTGGTCGTGCGAGAAAGTTGCTAAACACCCAGGTCAACAAAAAAAGAAAACAAGAAAGTGCCAATATAGTGTATTTTGAACACCACTCTGTCTGGCTGTGCGTAAAATTGCATCGGGACTGGACGCAGGAGCACGCTTGAGGCGCCGAGTTTCGACTCCTCGATGGCTGGGGAACCTGGATGCATAGGACCGAAGCCTGGTGGATAAGAGCTTCTCTCCGCCAAAGAGCTCTGAAAATGACCATCGAAAGCATCCGAAGCTTCCACGTCAAAGGGTGCCTGAAGTGAAACATGTCGAACTCGGCCGCTGAAAAGGTGCAGGCGCTGAGACTCTGAGACCCCGACAGGGAACACGTCAAACAACTCGTTCAAAAGATTGGTCATGATATCCGGCAAGCTGTTCTCTTCGACTCTTGGCATGCCTAAGTAACTAGAATTTAACTAGAAAATGGAATTTTAACTAGAGGTCTGCTAAGCACATCTCGCACAATCAAAGTATAAACAGTATAGAGAGGTACGCATCAGAGATCAAAGGTCTGGTTTACTTGGACGCGTCTATGCACAAGGTGTAGCGTCCTTTTTGGGAGTTTAAATTGAATACTGGATAGAGGCCATCGCTAGTAGGTTGGAGGCCATCGCTGGTAGGTTGGAGGCCATTGCAATTTGTTTTGTTTTTGTTTTATTTGTATATATACATATAATCTGTATATAAATCTCAAAACTCGTGTGTTGGAACCATGAACACGCCAAGGTTCGAGGACTTTCATCCAAGACTTTGGGCGTGTCCTGGCCAGCTAGCTTTGGGGCAAACAGAGAGATAAAAGAAGCCAAAGTTGGAGTCAGACGGATCAATCAAAGCAGTTTCCATCCTTCAAATCTTGGCTCTTTGCAGTGCCAAGTTGTGCTACTGTCCTCAGGGTCTCCATCCGGTTGTAGAGGTGGAGATTTCAACAGCTCCTCCAGATCCACGCTCACCTCAACCGGATGTAAGTAGTGAAAGCTACAACTGTGGAGGTGAAGATCTTAAGTCTCAAGTAGGTGTTTGGCGTCTCTTGATCAAAAATCTGACCAACCTCATGTTCACCTCCATGGCACTCTCTGGGACGTCCCCCGGCCTCCTCAGCGCAGCGCTCATCCAGGCAGGCCATCTTTGGTTTTGGCACCAGCCGACCCAAGACCCTTGGCGTGGCCTGGCGGGTGACCCGGACGTCTGGAACCCGGTTCAGCGGTTTGAGACGAGGAAGATCAGCGTCTTTTTCGGTGAGGAGCCCATGTCCGCCATCTTTTTCGGTCTGAAAATCGGGAAGAATCGATGGAATATCCGAAAATCCGCCACGAATGTGTTCCAACATGCTTCAGAAGACGGAATCTGAAACGTTGAAGGTTGAACTTCTCCCTTCTTGGCAACATGCAAAAGAAGCATCTAACAGAGCAGGTACTCATCGTACCTCAACAGCTGCTCTGCAGAGTGACTCCAAGTTGATGGGCTGTGAAAGCTTCAGCGTTGAAAACAGCAGCTCACTTACCTCCCAGGGGAAGCTCGCTCTTAAAGCGTTCGAGTCAGGAGATTGGATTCTAGACACAAGATGTTTATGATCCTTTATGTGATGTTGTGTGACCGTGCTTAGCATAGAGAAGGCGGTTAGTCTATCGCAAACAAAGACGAGAAAGCTATAGCTACAGTACTTTCTCTTCACAGGACCACACCTGTTCGTGCGTCACGTCCAGGAATTGTGCAATCTGTGCCTGAACGGCTCCCGTTCGAGGGCACAAAATGCGTGAAAAAGCAGCGCATCCGTATTTTCAAGATTCACCGGTAAATGCATCTCGAGTGGCTGCACTTGCGTTTTGCTCCTTCAGATCCAAAGCTTCTCCAGCTGCCTTCATCTGTTCAACGCTACAAACCTCCTTCACACGCTCCTGGCAACTTTCACTGTTCATGTCCTCAAGTTCATGCACAATATATACATCAGTTCTTTCTAAATGATCGGTTTTTTACTATGCAAAGTTGGCACCTCCCGATCTTGTGTTCGCCCTTTCGGCCAAGAATCGCCGCTCGGTCGGTCGTGACGCCGCTCGGAACGCCGTCCTCAGAGACGCGGTGCTGGGCTGCGAAGGCCTCGCCGATCGTCTCCCGCACACGGGCGGCACAAGCACCGTGGAGCACGAGGACGAGCCAACCTGGTGACGTGAGAGACGGGTTTACCCGAGCTGATCAAAAAGGCATAAAAATAAGACAAAATAGGCTGACTCAAAAGGTTCTTTTGGAGATTTAGTTGGATCTCAAAATGCACTTGGACACCACTACCTCTCGGCGTGCCAGCGGAAGGACACCAGTGCATTTCCAAAGCCAAGTAGCATCTCGACATGAAGAGTAGAAAGCCAGCACAGCCCAAGTCCCAGCAATGGAAAAGGGTTTCACAAGCAACAAGACATTGTCTTTTTGGGCTTTGAGCCAGACTGCTTCCAAAGATTCACAAAATGAGAATCAAGTCGAGACCCCCCGAACCAGCCTTGTGGTCTTTTTCTCGTAGCATCCGTTTTGGGTTGATCACACGTCCAATCCCCACCAAACAATGGCAGAAGAAACTCCTTTGGTCAGGATCCTCAAAAGAAACACACACCTTTTTTCTTGACTGATCTTCACCAACGCGGCAAGCTTCGTCTAGCTGCGGATAGGACTGTAAACGAAACGCGTCGTCATGCTGGCGAAATTCTTGGTGGCAGCTGCCGAAGGATCAGGCAGCAAATACACAGTTTGAATGGCCTGGAACGTTTGACACTTTCTGAGAAAACCACATCAACACATCCCAAGCAAGAGATTCCAAAGACGTGGGTCTTCTTCAATCGGAGACAACAGTCAGAGGCCTAGAGGTTGACTTGCCAGCCTGCATCAACTTCCTTGAGGTGTCCAAGGTCTTCTTCGCTTCTTCGGGTAAGGGCGCTTGCTTCCAGAGCGTGACCACCCGCACTGCAGCAGCCAATCTCGGATGAAGTCGCAGATTCCATGCAAGGATTTATAAGAAAGTGAGCAAAAAAGAAAACAAAAGAAGATATTTCCTTAAAGACCACCGGCCCTGGACATTTCAAGTGTCCACTTCAACGATCTTTACTCTGAGTATTCTCTTAAGTCACTTCTCCAAGAAACTTCTCCTGGTCCTTCTGCCTC